GAAGAGCAATTCACCTATATACTGATAGTAATGCTAAGAATTGACATGGGGGCTGTAGCCATTACTGATCTCTATCAGCATCTCCTCGCACCCCAAGTGAAAGTATGTGCAGGCATGAATGTGTTTTTGTTGTACATGTATAGTTTCAGGAGAGGTTTCAAGTACCAATCCTCCATTCTCACATCCATGATCTCATGAAAGCTCCTCCTACATAGGACATTTAGGGCTGTGTGTCACACTGACTGTTAGGGACTGAGATCAGTCAGGCTGCCCTTCCCTGGGTCCTGATGGAAGAAGAAAAATAAGGGAATGTCTTTTTGGTTTTTCCAAGTTTAGGGTCTTTTATTTTTTTTAATTATTATTATTTTTTTTTTACAAATAGTTTATTGTCAAGTTGGTTTCCATATAACACCCAGTGCTCATCCCCACAAGTGCCCCTCTCCGTGCCCATCCCCCTCTTCCCCCCCACACCCATCAGTCCTCAGTTTGTTCTCAGCATTCAAGAGTCTCTCATGGTTTGCCTCTCTCCCTTTCCCCCACTATTTCCCTCCTTCTCCTCCATGGTCCTCCTTTAAGTTCCTCCTGATCCTCCTATATGTGCAAACATATGGTATCTGTCCTCTGCCTGACTTATTTCGCTCAGCATAACACCTCCAAGGTCCATCCATGTTGCTACACATGGCCAGATTTCATTCTTTCTCATTGCCATGTAGTATTCCTTTGTATAGATAAACCACATCTTCTTGATCCATTTGTCCGTTGATGGACACTTAGGCTCTTCCCATGTTTTGGCTATTGTTGAGAGTGCTGCTATGAACATTGGGGTACGTGTGCTCCTATGCATCAGCACTCCTGTATCCCTTGGGTAAATTCCTAGCAGTGCTATTGCTGGGTCATAGGGGAGTTCTAGTGTTAATTTTTTGAGGAATCTCCACACTGTTTTCCAGAGGGGCTGCACCAGTTTACATCCCCACCAACAGTGTAGGGGGGTGCCTGTTTCTCCACATCCTCACCAGCATCTAGAGTCTTCTGATTTGCTCATTTTAGCCACTCTGACCGGCGTGAGGTGGTATCTCAGTGTGGTTTTGATTTGTATTTCCCTGATGAGGAGGGATGCTGAGCATCGTTTCATGTGTCTGTTGGCCATCTGGATGTCCTCTTTGGAGGAGTGTCTATTCATGTTTTCTGCCCATTTCTTCATTGGGTTGTTTGTTTTTCAGGTGTGGAGTTTGGTGAGTTCTTTAAAAAATAAGGGAATGTCTTATGGCAGGAAATGGATATATTAGTATCTATCAGGATCCATTGCTCTTCCCCCAATCCCTTGTTCTACAATCCTATTCTCTTTCTTCTCTCCCTCTCTCTTCTCCAACATCTTTGTCTCTTGGATGGTCCCAGCACTTTCTTCCCCCATCCCCAGAGCCCAGCCTGTGTAGCTTGGTCATGAGACGTGCAGTAGGAAGGTGTGTGGGTCTTCAATGGATACTGGTGCTGGGGGAAAAAATTTTCTGGGTAAGTGACAGTGGTTTGAGCAGCCCTTCTCCATAGGAATCTCTCCCCCCCCACCCCCCAACGATGTTCTCCTCATTAAAGGACCAGTTGGATGCTCCCTTTTCCCTCTTAATTTCTCAGTAAATCTCTAAGGGGCACAGGGTTGAGATTCCTCTCCTGGGTCGCTGCCCATGGGGAGTCAGCTGTGGCCCAGTGATGATGAGAACTTGGGGCCCCAGGCATCCTCTTAGAGATGCTTTGCTTCTAAGTCTCTTTATCCAGTAAGCACATTTTGCGCCTGTACTGGTGTCACTGTGGAGTTTGCCCCTGGACTGCCTTTTGCCCACAGATTTCTTCAATAGGATGAAGTTTACATGAGCCTTGGGATTGAAATAGGCAGACAGGCCTAGACCAGTGACGAATTGCTTCAGTGCCATCCCGTTCCAGGGATAACTCTGGACCCAGAAACTCTTTGGGAGCCCCTTTACTTTTTTTTTTAATGTTTTATTTATTTTTGAGAGAGAGACAACATGAGCAGGGGACGGTCAGAGAGAGAGGGAGACACAGAATCTGAGGACAGGCTCCAGGCTCTGAGCTAGCTGTCAGCACAGAGCCCGATGCAAGGCTCAAGCCACAAACCACAAGATCATGGCCTGAGATGAAGCCGGATGCTCAACCGACTGAGCCACCCAGGCACCTCTACTTTCATTTTTTTTTAATTAAAAATTTTTATTTATTTGAGAGAGAGAGAGAGAGAGAGAGAGAGAACAAACAAGCTGGGGAGGGGCAGAGAGAGAGGGAGACACAGAATCCAAAGCAGGTTCCAGGCTCTGAGCTGTCAGCACAGAGCCCGACGTGGGGATCGAACTCACAGACTGTGAGATCATGACCTGAGCTGAAGTCGGACACTTAAAGGATTGAGCCACCCAGGCACCCCATTTGCGAGCCCCTTTAATTGGAAAGGCCACATGTCCTAGTTTGCAGGGACAATCCTGATTCACCTCCTGTGTGTCAGAATCCCATCTCTGACTCTTAGTAAGTGTCTGCATTCATGCAATAAATGATAGGATGGCCTTACATCTAGCCAGTCTTTGCTCAGTTTCACCTAGGGAAGGATGGATGGGGTGCCCAGTAGGGGTGTTCAGAAGGACCTACTTACAGTCCAGAGAGAGGGGCAGAGGCTGAAGAAGTTAACTTCCTAGTACTGGGAGTCAGCTACTGGGGAGGTGGGGGTGTTGTTTGAGTGAGACAAGAAAGCAGCCATAAAGATTTAGGGAGGGAGGCTCTCTTTGGGTCAAGCAAGGTGTGGGCTGGGGACTAGATGGGGTGTGTAACTTTCTCCCTCTCTATTATGTGTCCTGGAGGGGCAGGTAGAGAGGGTCCTTCATCCACTGGAGGACATTCCTTCAGTCCTCGCCTCCGCCCACACCCTCCCAGGTCTGCCCACACCCTGCTCTGCAGGCCCCGATGGAAATTGCCATGCTTGCAGCCCCCATTTCCCTTCTGTGGGGGGTTATCCATCTCTGTCTCACTCTTGCTCAGCTCCCCTCACTTCTCCACACCCACAAACTCCTGTCCTCCTATGCCCCATCCCAGGCCACCCACTCTGGCCCACACAACACCCTCCTCTCTCTGAGGCACGTTCTTGTCCCTTCTGTGGCTCCTGTCCCTGTCCCACCCTTGTGAGGAAGAGCCACACGTGTCCAAATCATGGGAGACACTGCTCTGGTCTAGGACCTAAATGCTTTCCCCGGTTTGGGGCTTCTTAGTCATTATGAAAACAAATAAACAACAACTGAACAACGGCTGCTGTTTGAGAAATTTAGAAATAATTACAACTGATGGGAAATTACGGGCATGTGATGCGTTCCCAGGGTCACCCCCGCCCTGGGCCATGTCCTCTCCTGGCCTGTGTGAGTTGGGTCTAGAGAATCCCTAACCCCCTGGTTCCCACACACTCAGTGCAGTGGGATGAATAGTGTCCCCCCAGAATTCAGGCCCACCCAGAACCTCAGAACGTGACCCAATTTGTAAACAAGGTCTTTGTAGCTGTAAACGTTAAGGATCTGGGGAGGAAATCCTTCTGAATTCAGAGTGTGTCCTAAGTCCAACGACTCGTGTTGTGATAAGAAAAAATAAGGGGGAAATCCAGGCACATGGACTCGGGAAGAATGTGATGTGGAGACAGGCATGAGGTGGGAAGGGTGCTGTCACAGCCAAGGGCCCCCGAGAATGCCAGATGTGGGAAGAAGCAGAGAAGATTCTCCCCTAGAGCTTTTACAGGAAGATGTGATACTGCCCACACGCCTCCAGAACTGTGAGAGAATAAACTTCTACTGTTTAAGCCATCAGGTTTGTGGTCCTCTGTTACGGCAATGCTAAGGAACAAACACACTCAGGAGTCACAGTCTCTTTGCTCTGTTACTGTGGGTCCTGTGCTGGAGGTTGGGGGGAGGTTCACCCGGGGACAGTCACACCATTCTGGCCACTACTTGGAAAGAGCTTCCTGAATTTCCATCTTCAAAAGAACGTGCCACAGTCTCCCAGACTACCAGGCATTTGCCGTATGAATGGAATAGGGAAAGTAACCCTAGAAATGACCTGTTTCTAGGGTCGTTGCGGGGATGACCCAGGGCACGCGTGTGCTATGTCCACCCCCAAGTCTGGAAAAAAGCAGGCTACCCATAAGGGACTCCACCTTCCTCAGTCTTTCTCGGCTTTCAGACTTCCTTCTCACCCCCGACTTCCTGGCCACACTAGCCTATCTCTGGTCTCTCTCACCGGTCTGTGCCTTCTTTGCCTTGACTGCACCCCTCGCCTCCTCTGGTGCAGTGTTCTACCACGGTGAGTGTGACTTGCGTGTAAACCCAGAGTTCACCCCAGAAAGATGACTGGCTCTGCCCAGGCGGATGTGCCTGTCCTGCTGCATTTGGGGCGGCCCCCTTTCCATCCCATCAAGTGAAGGGTTACTCGGGTGTAATACCTCAGTCCCTCCTGGACCCCACCTCCCTCCCCCACGTCGACCCCCACCCCTTCCACGTGCCCCGCCTCTGTGAAATCTCTGGGCTTCACTTATCAGTGGATTCAACTCTGTGCCTTCTTTAGGATTCTAACCTAAATAGGCAGATGAGAGCTAGGTCTGATGGGGGCATTAAGAACAGACATGGAGAAAACCTCAATGCCTAATAGATGAAGCTTGAGTCTTGAATTGAGAAACGACCAAGCATTCCAATGTATAGGCTGTCCTGTCCTGTGCCCCAGGCGAAGGCAGGGTCAGGGCTCACTTCTGCCCCTCCTAATGCCATTTCCCCAGCCCTTTGCCCTGCAGACCAACCCCACACCCTGGGAGCCCGGATGCCTAGGTATGGACCACGGATCCATCCTCCATGGGGATGAACAAGAGGAGGCAGCATCGCTTAGGAAGAAGGGTCAGTCACCCACGTGCAAGAGGGGAGGTGCCTTCCTGATGTCTTCTAAGGGCCGAACTTCACAGACACCCCTGAGACACGGCCGGCCTGACATGACACGTTTTATTGTTTTAGTCTATTTCAGTTTCAGGGCTAAGGAGCACAATGCACAGGAAGTGGAGAGAAGGGACAGATAACCCGGCAGGAAGGAGATGAGAGGTGGAGAGAGAATCACACTCTTAGAAACACAGGCTGGAAGCTTGTAAAGGAGAATCCGGGGTGAGGACTATGAACTCAGGATACACTTTTGGAGATGGTCTCAGGAATCCTTTCTCTTGACCTGAGGGAGAGAGGGCATTGTCAAGGTCCCAGGGGCCATGAACCAGAGGAGAGCCTGACTCTGGGCCTGATTTGGGGTACAGCCGGCTGACTCTCCCCATCCTCTGATGCTGCACCCTGTAATGTTCTCCCCAGTCAGGCAGCCTCCTTATAATGTCATTGAGAGAGAGGATCCATCAGGCCCGGGTCAGGCTCTGCGGTCCCTCACACTCCATGTTCTATACTCTCCCTCCAGCCCGACCCCCCCGTCCTGCAAGCCTCCTCACCTTGGCCATCAGCACAAGGACGCTGACCAGCATGGCGTACAGGCTGGCCTTCCCCAGCAGGATCTCATAGACCAGGGTGGCCGACACGACCCCCTGCTGATAGGACACTGTGGGCAAGAAGCAAGAGCACGTAGCTACCTGTGAGCAAGTGCCCCTGGCTCCTGCCCCCTCCCCGGGGCCCAGGGGTCCTCCGGGCTCGGGTTCCAGGGAGACACAGAGGAAGCAGAGGAGAGGGCCACTCACCCGAAGTGAAGCCGCAGTCTGAAAGACAAGAGGGGGAGGGAAATGGATGAGAGACTCCATCTACTAAGGCAGATGAAAAGCTGCTAAGTTGGGCCCACGGGGCTCAGACACTCAGGGCCCCAGCGGCAAGGCCCCGCGAGGCTAAGGATGCCAGGGAGGAATGAGCCCCAGGGGCCCGTTCACCCTCACAGTGGGCTTTGGTCTTCCCGCTCTGCCCCCCACCCCCGCCTTCTGCATCCAGTCTTTGTGGTCTTCTTCCTGGATCCCCCCTGACTGTGCCCCACTCACTCCCTGCCCATCCCCCACCCCCCAGGCCCGCTCACCTGCTTTGCCCCAGGTGTCGGCACTGACGTTCTGGGTGACGGGTTTGGCCTCGGAGTAGTTCCACTGGTCTTCCTTCCCCAGCCCGTGGAACTGGACTTGGCAGCGAAAGTGGTTGCGAGGGTTGTGCCAGAAGGTGGCCGAGACCCTCAGCCGGCTGCTCAGGCAGTAGTTGGAGCTGTTCGCGTCGGGCTGTTCCTTGTAGGGCTCAGGGTCCGTGCTCACCCCGTCGTGTACCTCCTTCCCGTTCACCCACCAGCTCAGCTCCACGTGGTCGGGGTAGAAGTCTGTGGCCAGGCACACGAGCGTGGCCTTCCGGGTCCGGGAGATCTCTGCTTTTGATGGCTCAAACACCGTGACCTTGGGAGGCTTCACCTTTCTCAGGTCCTCTGCAAGGGAAGAGGGGTTGGGGCCAGGCCTGCTCTGAGAGCTGTCTGGGTTTGGAAGGGACAGTGTGTGTGTGTGTGTGTGTGTGTGTGTGTGTGAGAGAGAGAGAGAGAGAGAGAGAGAGAGACAGAGAGAGAGAGCTGGAAATGGTGTCATCCTAAAGCAAAATTATGGAGTTGTGGGTCCTATGTGTTTGGGGGTCACTGTCCTGTTCCTCTGTCACTGTTCTCCTGCCTTTCCTGTTCTTTGTCGTCACCCTGCAGACATTCTGAGTAATGTCCCTTCGTTAATGTTATTTGATTTCTTCTCCATCAGGAAAAGCTTACCTGTCTGCATTTCACCGTATTATGTAGTAGTTATTTCAGTGGAGCGAGCACAGGATAGGAATCAGAATAATAGGGTCCAAATCTTAAAACTTGACTTTGCCTACCAGTGTGACTTCGGGACGATGTCTTAATATCCCTGCATCATTCATTCTTCCTTCTTGTGAAGGGAGAATCATGGTGCTGCCTCTCCAGAGAGGCTGAGGAGGTTACGTGTGTAAACATTCAGGAAGCTCCTGTCCTGTCCCGAGCTGGTGAATTGCATCTGAATCTAAGAGGCTAAGGAGTTATGGGGAACCGGGGATCTAGGGTCCTTTGGGGGCTGGGGATATTCTTTAGTTGACAATACACAGATGGTGTATTGTCATGGGCTCGTGTGAGGGTACGCTTTTGTTTTATGCTGTGCTCATGAGAATGTGAGATTTTCTGTGGTTCACGAGGTCATCCTAGCCATTCCTCTACCTTCAAGTAACTCCCCGAGGTTCCTAAGCTCAGACAGAGAGCAGTCTCTCCTTAGGTCAAATTCAGGGATTCTTCAACCTTCTTTGCTCCTCTGCTCTCAAACGTTATACTTTTTTCATGCCAGTCAGCTTCCTAAATAAGCATCTGAGATCCTCAGAGAAACTTCTTGCTAGCAGTTGCTTTGAGATCATTTTTGTCCTAAGCTTCTCTTCTGCAGGGTCTTGGGGAAAGGCCCAGACCACCTTCCCATCGGGCTGGCTCATTTCTCCTGAGCCTGCTCTCCATTCACTTTATCACACTCCTCTGCTTTCTGCTGATTTTTGTTTGTTTCTTGGCAATTCTGTTAAAATGAAAAATCTCATTCTTATGAGAATCGAGTTTAGCCTGGAAGACGGAGAGGTCTTCTAACTGACACTTTACATGTGTATGGCTGTGACCTAATTTCTGGGGCCAGCCTCATGGGTGTGTGACCCTGGTGTAGGAACCCACATTTACAAACGCCCCACTCTTGGCTTCACGGCCGCTGTCACCATCTTGAAATTCTAAACAAGAGCCTGGCATTTTCCTTTTGAGCTGATCTGGCCTCCCATCCTGATCGCTTCCTCTCCCTGCAAACGCCTACTTGCTAACGGCCCCTATGTCTCTAGGTTTTCCTGGCTGACCTGGCCTGAGGTGCTAACAGTCTGGCTACTATCTGTACTGCCCGGGGCCCCATCAACCACGCCCTGGCTCTGGAATTGTACCAGCTCTCCTGGGGCACTCCTCGGACCCCCTCATCGGCAAACACTCAGTCCTTCCTGCAAAATTGATGATGTCCTTTGAGCCATGTGTGAGGTTTACTGATGCAACGGTCGGGACAAAGAGGACCTCGATGGCACCATAGAGCATTGTCTACACACAGCTCCCTGTGAGGCCGGGTCAGTTTAGCCTTCCTTGTGAGTCCCTGTGGGATGCGGGTGAGTTTGCCCAGGTGGGTGTAAGTTTGGTTCTAGGGAGCTTCTGTTAGTATACGCTCTGCGTGTGGGCTGGACTAGCCTCGGGCAGACTTGTGAAGTTTATCTTTCCTGTTCCCAGTCCACCTCTCCGTTACCCACACGCCAAATCTAGTCCCTCCTTTGACACCAGGCTCGCCCTCTGCTCTCACCCCTCAGTGACCACCTAGGGGAAGGGTGGAGAGGAGAAGGAGCTGAATGATAACAAACCACCATTGCTGAGTACTTGACATGTAGGGTCCCATGTCATCCGCACAGCAATAATTAAGTAGTAGGTATTGTTGATGACATTGCGCACAGTAGAGGGGACTCAGCTTCACACATTCATTTGCCCAAGTCACCGCCTCATCAGTGAGCCAGGGATTGGGACCCAGGTTTCTCTGGCTCTAAAGTCTGGTCTTCTCCTCACCCCTGCTCATCACCGGAATCTGGCATTTCCCCTGGACAGAGGTTAGCTAAGCTCCATTGGCTCTAGCTTAATGACAGTCTAACTACAAATAATGCCTGTTGTCATCCAAATAGTCCCAGTTAATGTACCAGTGTTGTGAGTTTCTTCCCCGCTGTGGCCTCCACATTCTCGGCACCAGGGGATGGGCCATCTAGGCGCTTTCCAGATCTAAGAGCTTGGGATCCTCCTGGGAATCTTCCTCAACCCACAAACACCAAGTTTGCATTTTAATGTGTGTTTAAGACACGAACCTCCTACCTGACTGGGCTGTTGAAGCTCCTACAGTACTTGGTGTGAGGTCTGAGATTTCAGGCTGGGGGGCAGAGGGGACGGGGGGGGGGGGTGAATGCACCCCCCTGGCTGACGTTCCAGTCCAGCCCACGGGCAGGCTTGGGTGCTGTAGACACACCTCAGGGGTCTCTCATTTAGGAGAGAAAGGCAGGGGGGTTAAATCTACTTTTAAATGCTAAACAGTAATTCAGCGAACCCTGCTTTGTTTTGATGCCTTCCTTCACTGACTATTTTTTTCTGGCCTTTCTATCCCTCTCTCTCATGGCCTCCCTTCTCTCCTCTGTTCAGCGGCCTCGCCCCTCCATCGACCCCTTCCAGAAGCTGGCTCCCAGCTGGGTATAACAGCTACAGCCTGCGCCTCCCGAAGCCCCGGGCTTCCCTTCTGTCTGGTCCGCCAATCCCGCGCCTCTGAGTCCTAATGGATCCCCTTGTCCTCCACTCACTCTGGCCCTAAATACCTCGGGAGGAGTAGGCAAAGAGCCCCCTTTGCCTTCCGCCCGGTTCCCGGCCCGCGAGGACCCGGTCCCCGCCCGCCTAGCAGGACTGACCCCGCGGATGGACAGCGCGCCGCGCGCCCTGGCGCACGAGTCCCTTCCCCGGGGACAGAAGGGCTGCGGCGGGGACGCCGGGAGGAGACTCTCAAACCTTACCTAAGACCGTGAGCCTGGTGCCGGGGCCGAAATAGCGCTCGTAGGAGCACAGAGGTCCAGCCCTGCACGCAAACCCCGCAGCGCCCGAGCCGCGTCCCGCTCCGCCTCGCAGCCCCGCCCCAGCGCAGGGGCCCAGCCGGTGCCCCGGCGGGAACGGCCCTCGCGACCCCGCGGCCACTCACTCACCCACGACGGTCAGCCGGCTGCCGGCCCCGAAGGTCGCGGCGGAGACTGCGCAACCCCGGGCCCCCCGCCGAGCACCCGGCCGCGCCCCCCGCCGCGCTCACCTAGCACCGACAGCCGGGTACCGGGGCCGAAGTACAGAGGATTTTGGCTCACAGCCCCGGGGCGCAGCACAAAAACAGGCCCGTCACAGCGCTGGCCCGGTCGCCCTCCCCGGCGACCCCGGGGCACTCCCGCTTACCTAGCACGGTCAGCCGGGTACCCGTGCCGAAATACTGCGTTTCTGTGCTCACGGCCCAGAGCCCCAGGACAAAAACCCGGCGCTGCCCTCTCCCGTCAGCCCTGCTCCCTTGCGCGCCCCACACACCCAGACCCGGGAGTCCCGCCTCGGAGAAGGACCCCAAAGCAGAGCCTGGCAGCTGCTCACCTGTCTCCACCCCACCCCGCCGAGAGCTCGGTCCTTACCCAGCACGGTCAGCTTGGAACCAGCCCCAAAATACAGCTGCCCGGTGTTTGCACAGCCCAAGAGGCCCAGACGCAAACCTGCCTTCCCACACCAGGGCCCAGGAGCGGCCAGCACCCACTCCTTGAGAGCCAGGGTCCTGGGAGTGTGGGTCCAGACTGGGCAACGCACCCTCCCGCCCACCCAGAGATTTGGAGATTTCTTACCTAGTACAGTGAGCCGGGTCCCGGGCCCAAAGTGCTGCTCATTATAGGAGCACAGTGGGCAAGGGCTGCCCAAAATTTCTGCACCTCCCTACTTCCCTGGGCACAAGCTGAGGGCGCACTCTCCTTCTCCTTCCCGGGGGCTTCTGTCTCCCCGCCTACAGAACTAGGGGCACATAGTAATCTGGAGGCTGCAGGAGATCGTCCCCAGTTTGCAGAAGAGAATCAACTTGGCTTGGGGAGAAAACAGTGAAAGTGGAAAATGAATGGGGACGGGTGAAGGGTGGCTGCGCGGGGGTTAGGTAGTGTTCCGGGCTAGACCCGGTCTCTTAGTAGCCATAGGGCCTGCAACCCTCTGGCCTTAGTTCCTTCATCTGAAACATGGGACAGAATCTTTCCCACAGTGCTGTTGTGAGTTCTTAACAGGTAACGCATGTGCAATCCTCTGTCAAGGGCAAGTTTTATGAAAAGGGCTGGATGATGATCCCACTCTGATGCCTTGGCCCTTCGCTCCCTGGGCAGCTGTCTGGAGCAGGGAGATACAGAGGTGTTCGCGGAGTCCAGGTCGATGGAAGTGCACATCAGGGACCAGCCCCAGAGACCCCTCCCAGCCACTCCCTGTCCAGGAGTGTTCCCTGGGCTGGGTGGGGACATGTTCTGAGGCCGAGCTTTTTGTAAAAGCACCTCCTCTACCTGAATCATCGTGCGCTACTCCCACTGCCCACAATGTTACAGTGCCACACAAAAATATTTCCTTGTCTCTGATCCCCTCCCCCCACCACGCGGCAGAGGCAGAGAGCCCAGGTGGCAGAGATTTGGTGGGGCAGAGAGGCCCCTTCACGGAGGCACACACCACTCGGAGGAGACCGTCTGTGTCACCAGGTCTCCCCTTCGGGACTCACTGTGCCCACCTGCACAGACTGGCATTTATAGTGAGGCTGGTGGGAGGAGCTAGGGGTGGAATCCACACTGGGGACAAACAGCTGGCAAACCTGTGTAACCCCCTCTGGCTCCCTGCACAAAGCCCAAGCTCCTTGCCCTTCGTGTATTCCACACGCGCCATGAACGCCTCCTACGTGCCAGGCCTCATGTTGCTTGCACGGACCGGAGCCTGCCCTCGGGTGGGCACACGCCAACCTCCCTAACATCTTTTCCCTGCGTTCCTGCACCTCCTCTCTGGCTAAGCACCCACGAGCGCCTGGCCCTATTGTTTTGGCTCTGGTTCGTGCCACTGAGTGGCCACGACCACCCGCCCACACGGATGGGACTTTCTCTGAAGAGTTTGCCCCCTTCTCAGACTTCTCTGACGATGGGGAGCCAGCCTCCAACTGCATTTTATCAGACAGTTCAGGATGCTTTCAAAGCATCACTTTGTATTTCAACTGTTTCTTTCTTTTTTTTTTAATGTTTTATTTATTTCTAGATGAGAGAGAGAGAGACAGCGTGAGCAGGGAAGGGTCAGAGAGAGAGGGAGACACAGACTCTGAAACAGGCTCCAGGCCCTGAGCTGGCAGTCAGCACAAAGCCCAACGCGGGGCTCGAACCCACGAACCGTGAGATCATGACCTAAGTGAAAGTCGGATGCTTAACTGACTAAACCACCCAGGCGCCCCATGTATTTCAACTGTTTCTATTCATGGGTTCCCCCCTCATGAGCAGGGAGGCTCTTGGGGACTCTGACTTGGATATCTTTATTTTCTTGAAGGTTAATAGCAGAACGTTGCAATAATATATGCTTAATGAGGGGGTTAGTGCACACTCATATACTTTCATATGTATCAGCATTTCTATATACATAAGTTATTTATTCATTATTATATAGTATTTATACAAACAATATATTATCTATATAATGTATTATTTATATATAATATTATTTATTGTAATCAATTATATAATATATATTAATTATACATTAATAGTATATATTATATAACAATATATTGTCATATAATATTATTAATCATAATTAATATACTTATTTGTATGTTATGTTTATTATATATTATTTATTATTATATATATAAAATAAAAGTCCCTAAAACCAAGTATCATCCCTATTGCTATTTCTAGAAATCCTTTAAGAGGTCTTTGTTATCTCATATATATATAAATATATGTGCACGCATGCGTGTGCGTGTATGTGTGTGTGCTGTGTACGCGCACACACACATCTGAATACCTCAGGTGTTGCAACACGGAGAGAAGACTGTGTGTACCATCCTGTGAGTGAGAGAGTAGGTGCCTATTTCAGACTGGCCTTATGGTGATGTCTTTTCCTGAACTGAGTGACTTTGGGTCCACTCATTTATGCACTCACTTATTCGAAGATCATTCGTTGTGTATTTACACCGAACCCAAGTACTATGCCGTATTCCAGGCACACTGTAATAAAACATGTCCTTGTCATCAAGGAGCTGAGTGTCAAATGGAGACGTCAGACAAGTGAGGGGGTAGTGTGCACCAAGCGTGGCATGTGTCATGAAGGAGGTGTGCACAGGGCACTATGGTAGCAAAGTTCAGGATGCCTGGGGGCCGACCTCAGGGGGTGCGGGGCAAGGAAGCTCCCGAGAAGGCTTCTTGGGGCGAAACGTTGGAGCTAAAGCTTTAAGGATAAGTAGGAGTCAGAGTACTAGGTCACTCCAGGTAAAGGAGGGCAAAGTAGCCTGCAAGCGAGTGGCTCAGGGGTGCAGGGGGAGAGGAGTGAGGTGTGCGTGGAGCAGGTGGCAGAGGACCACCACCAGGTCCTCTGTGTCGTCCTCAGGACAGTGCGCCACGTCACCATGGTGACAGCGAGACAACCAACAGCTCTTAAAGGATTTCCAGAAATAGCAACAGGGCCGACTCTTGGTTTTAGGGACCTTTATTTTCTACCCTCCCCGAGCCATCAGGGGACATTTTCACACCCCTCTGCTACATCTCCAAGTCAGCGTGTTCTCTTCTCGGCCAGGAAGCCTGCCTGTCCACAAGTGAAAACGGCCGTAGCCTCAGTGAGGGGGTGGAAAGGGACCCGGCTGGTGTGCGTGAAAGCAAGCTGCCTTAGCCAGGGCCACCTGACGGGCTGTGGGCGGGCACGCCTGTGTGGGTGGGCTCTTCCTCAGAGCACCTGTGTCCAAGGGGGGCAGGAAGGTGCTGTGGGAAACGTCACCATGTGTCTGGGCTGCTCCTGTTCGCCTCATCACTACCACTCACAGTGACTAAAGCTCTCCTGACCAGGAAGGAGGACCACCAGCCATGGGCTGGGTCCCTCACTTTCCTCAAATACCTCCCCTTTCTATCCTGACTGGAGTCACATGGAAGTCAGAGATGGGCAGAAGAGGTATCCAGACACTCACAAGGCAGAGTCAAGCCAGAACAGGCCATTTTTATTGATTCAGTCCATTTCGTCACGCGAGGGCCCCCCTGGGTTAGGGCGAGGTGAGCCGTGAGCGTCCGCGTGTGCGTGCACAGAGGGGGCAGCTGCTGTGGGGGGGGGAGCAGAGGGATGAAAACAGGTCTTCAGAAGCAAGGGCTAGAAGTGGGGAAAGGGGGGCCAGGGCCTGCTGGGAACCCCCGGCTCCGCCTCTGAGCTGCCTTCAGGAATCCTTTCTCTTGACCTGAAGAAGAGAAGGTTGGAGGGGTGGCCAGAAGTCAGGGGTGGTGGGAATCGAGCCGAAGCGGGGTTGTAGGGCTCTTTATAACGTCCTTTGGGTTTGCAGGGAAGCCCAGCTCCTCCTTCCCTGCGTGGCTGTCCCACTGTGATCCCAGGGGCAAGTGTGTCTTTGAGGCATGTGGCCGGACCCCTGTGGTCTAGTGTCCACCTCTGGTCCTAGCAAGGTCACTGACTACTCATGGCTCTGAGTTGCTGTGTTTCAAGTGACACCTCCAGCCCGACCCCCCGTCCTGCTTGCCTCCTCACCTTGGCCATCAGCACAAGGACGCTGACCAGCATGGCGTACAGGCTGGCCTTCCCCAGCAGGATCTCATAGACCAGGGTGGCCGACACGACCCCCTGCTGATAGGACACTGTGGGCAAGAAGCAAGAGCACGTAGCTACCTGTGAGCAAGTGCCCCTGGCTCCTGCCCCCTCCCCGGGGCCCAGGGGTCCTCCGGGCTCGGGTTCCGGGGAGACACAGAGGAAGCAGAGGAGAGGGCCACTCACCCGAAGTGAAGCCGCAGTCTGAAAGACAAGAGGGGGAGGGAAATGGATGAGAGACTCCATCTACTAAGGCAGATGAAAAGCTGCTAAGTTGGGCCCACGGGGCTCAGACACTCAGGGCCCCAGCGGCAAGGCCCCGCGAGGCTAAGGATGCCAGGGAGGAATGAGCCCCAGGGGCCCGTTCACCCTCACAGTGGGCTTTGGTCTTCCCGCTCTGCCCCCCACCCCCGCTTCTGCATCCAGTCTTTGTGGTCTTCTTCCTGGATCCCCCCTGACTGTGCCCCACTCACTCCCTGCCCATCCCCCACCCCCCAGGCCCGCTCACCTGCTTTGCCCCAGGTGTCGGCACTGACGTTCTGGGTGACGGGTTTGGCCTCGGAGTAGTTCCACTGGTCTTCCTTCCCCAGCCCGTGGAACTGGACTTGGCAGCGAAAGTGGTTGCGAGGGTTGTGCCAGAAGGTGGCCGAGACCCTCAGCCGGCTGCTCAGGCAGTAGTTGGAGCTGTTCGCGTCGGGCTGTTCCTTGTAGGGCTCAGGGTCCGTGCTCACCCCGTCGTGTACCTCCTTCCCGTTCACCCACCAGCTCAGCTCCACGTGGTCGGGGTAGAAGCCTGTGGCCAGGCACACGAGCGTGGCCTTCCGGGTCCGGGAGATCTCTGCTTTTGATGGCTCAAACACCGTGACCTTGGGAGGCTTCACCTTTCTCAGGTCCTCTGCAAGGGAAGAGGGGTTGGGGCCAGGCCTGCTCTGAGAGCTGTCTGGGTTTGGAAGGGACAGTGTGTGTGTGTGTGTGTGTGTGTGTGTGTGTGAGACAGAGAGAGAGAGAGAGAGAGAGAGAGACAGAGAGAGAGCTGGAAATGGTGTCATCCTAAAGCAAAATTATGGAGTTGTGGGTCCTACGTGTTTGGGAGTCACTATCTTCTGTTTTATTCTCCCTCAACTTTGCGACTTTTTTCTCATTTCCTGCATGGGTGCACACTGCCAACTCTCTGGGGTCCCTAAGGTAGCAGCGGGTCCCGATTCCCTTGGCTGTCTATGCAGAGTCTCTTAAACGGGGCCTTGTTCCCTATCTATCAAAAGATTGTATCTGTCTATTTTTCTTCCCCATTCAATGTCCTCTTCGCTGTGTGACTATCTATTCTTTTAGACTGAGAAGCAGTTTTAGGGGAGTTGAATGAGACCTGATTGTGAGGCGGAGGATTCTCACTAGCAACATGATCCTGGGAACTGAATCCACTTTTTCTAATTATCATTGTTCTCTTGTACAAGGGGTATGCGTGTCCATTTGGCGGGGGGGGGGGGGGGGGGGGGGGGGGGGGGTGTGTNTCTTTTCCCAACTCACTTTTTTCCTTTCCTTCCTTCCTTCCTTCCTTCCTTCCTTCCTTCCTTCCTTCCTTCCTTCCTTCCTTCCTTTCTTTCTTTCTTTCTTTCTTTCTTTCTTTCTTTCTTTTTTTCCTTTCTTGGCATATAATCTGCTTTGAGGAGTCAAGAAGTCTCTGGCTCTTACCTTATCAGATGTTCTACATTTGCTGCATTTACACTGGGCACATGGGGTGTGTGGTAGCCTGCCCGGATGGCTGTAATCCATGAAAGACATTGCTCATGGGTTGAACCCTTTTTTCCTTCTAATGCCCAGCAAGCCTCCCTGACAGCTTTGGAAATCCTAGTTCAGAGCCAAGCTTTACATTTTTAAAAGCGGCAAAATCTTGCTGGGTATGAACAAATTCCAAAGCCCAAGGGCCATTTCATCAGAGCATTCATGTTGTAAAGTCCTGGGCGCTTTTACATGCCTGACAGATAGGGGAGAATTCCTGGAGTCATTGGAAGCCATGACCTCATGTAAAGACATGGAGGGATGAAAGAAAATACATCCATCTTTTACGCTTCCTTTTTTCCCCTTTTTTGGCCAGAATGGACTATGCCCGCTATCTGGCTCTATATCTGGCTAGAGGAATGATATTTTGGAGCAGAAATGTGGGAAATCCAGATGTCTTCACTTTATCCAAAATCGAAAAATATTTCTAACGGGAAAATCGAGACAGAGGTTGGGAAAAAAGCCAAGCTCTGTGACACGTGATGATGAACACCAGGAACAGAAAGGATGACCACCATAAGGCGAGCCTTTTATAAAGATCTCCATAGAAGCTAGTCCCTAATAACTTAACACCCCAGGAGGCTGGCACTGTTACCCCCATTTTCTACATCTCAGAGATTCTGAGAATTCCACTTTCTGAAATTCCACTTTCTGATTGTCTGAGCACACCCCCCCCATCTATCCCTTGAACCCAGGCATTTTGAACCTCAATAATTTGTACTTTCCAATTATTACGCTCGCCGGTATGTGCTCCCCTCCACAGTACAGAGTCTGCTCCAGCCATCCAGCCTGTAGGAGCACGCATCCCATTCTTCCGGTCTCATCTCTATTCCCAGCCCAGACTCATCCCATCCATGCCCTAACGTCTGTATGTCCTTTCTTCCGGAACATGCCAGGGGTGTGTTAGTGTTTTGTGATGGGTCCCTGACCCTTCCATCGCAGCACAGGTCCTGAGATTTGAGAAGTGGGGCCTCAGTCTCTTTTCTTTGCACCTTATCTGTTACCAAGGTGGCCTAGGTTTCCAGTTTTAACAGAGGTATTCCAGACCCATCTCCTCTGATCTGGCCAAGCACTATGTCCCTCAGACAGCCCCCGCGGCTTTAATGACACTGTGAAGAGACTTCTGACCCCCAGGGCTCAGAAACACCCCTCTAACCCTAGCCTTGCCAGTCTACACCCCAGCTCCCGTGCCTCTGAAGCCCTAGATCACTTCAGGAAGACACGCATGGATCTTTGGAAACTGGCGGAGATGAAAAAGGACAATGAAGGCGAGGGCGGAGTTCTGAGCAGGTGGAAGGCATTAGAAGACAGACCCATTCACCCAAATGGAGTCGACCATGAAGGACTGGAGTTCGCTCAGGAGGGAAAACGGAGAAGATCGGACTCAGATCGAGAAGGGAGAGTGAGTCAACACACCCCTGAAAAAGGAGAAGGCGTCCTGGAGAATGAGAAAAAGAACAGCAAGAAAACACAAAGCCCCAAGACTAAGTCTACTCCAGAGGGTCTGAGAGAAGACCGCCAAGCAGCCAGAGACACTCCTGGAGGGTCCGTCCCGCCCTGTCTCCTTCCTGGACTGATCGGTCACACACAGGCACCCCCAGCCTGGAGCGCAACCCCATACCTGTCACGGTGAGCCTGGTGCCCGTCCCAAAGTGGAGGGGCGAGTTATAGGAGCACAGCGGCGGGCAGCCGTGGTAAAACCTGGGGAGACAGTGTCCTGCCCGAGGGCAACCCTAGCTCCCAGGGAGCGGACTCTGCCACCTTCTTTGCCTGGATGTGCCGCTTTGGACCAGAGGGGTCCCATTAAGAGGAAGTCCAGGCATGTGATGGGGAAAGAGGAGGAAGCTCAGGATGGGCGCAGGCACACACGTGAGAAGGAAGGATGACCGAGGAAACAGCAAAGAGGTGACATGAAGGACTGAAGACTCAGGGAGGAGAAATAGAGGGTCCAGCAGGGCCACGCCAAGAGCAGCGGCGGCCACAGCTCCCTGGAGAAGCTCCCCAGGGATCAGAGCATTTATCTGACCCCTGACAACCAGGGCTGTGGGGAGAGACAGGGTCCCCGGGTCCCAGGGACACCGGCTCTGCCACCCCGGTCCTGCTCCTTACCTAAGACAGAGAGCTGAGTCCCGTCTCCAAAGTACTGTGCCTGGTTGCTCCACAGCAGAGCAAGAGTGTGGCAAACCCAGAACTGCTGCTCTGAGCCCTTTCCTTCCAGAAGCCAGCTTCCACCCAAACTCCTGGGGACTCGTGCAACCACCCTGCTCACCCTCGCTCTCTGTGCCTCTTCCCTGCTGAGTCTCCATCCCTAACCTGTCCCTGGAGTCCTCCTGGGACTGTATTCTTCTGACACGTTACCCCCCAGGGAGGCCGCTTACTTACCCAAGACTGAGAGCTTGGATCCACTTGCGAAAAATTGTCTCTCATTGTTACACAACACAGCAGGCTGGTAGGAAAACTGCCTGCCTGAGTCCAATTCCTGCCTTCCCGAGTGTACCTGCCCTTTCTCTTCTCCTTTTCCGTAGCAGGATTTTGGCACTGGGCGGCGGAGAAGGACGCGTGTGCAGCCTGAAGTGCTGTGGTCAGAGGACCAATCTGACCCCCACCCCTTTCGCCCATGTCTCTCTCTTTTCTGAGCAAGGGAGGAAAACAAACAGCAGGATGCAGCTAGCTCTAAGGCCAGAGGGTTCCCATCAACCATGGCCACGACGGGGTGCCCTCCAAGGAGACAGGGGGTAGACAAGGAAAGCCCAAGAGGAGACGACTTGCCTCCCAGCACGGGGACCCAGAATTGGCACGGCCAGTCTGTGAAATTACTAGAGATGGAAGCTGTCCCCTCCCGATTGCATCAAGATAAGAGTTCAGATCTTTCCGATAAAAATGTGCTTTAAGCTAAGTCCCCAGAATGGAGGCTCCATCGGGACCCCTGCCCCTCCTTGGAGGTTCCCAGCCCTCCAGCCTTGACGAGCTTACCTACAACAGTGAGCCGGCTCCCTTCCCCAAAATAGAGGGTGTCTCCATAGCACAGCGTCCCAGGTCTACTTCAGAACCTCCCCCTGTCTGCTGAGCTCCGCTGGGATTCAGGGACAGATTGGGGTGTTCACTGCTCGCAGAGATAACAGCCCTACGTCGCATATTCCCCACTCCCTTCCAGAGCTTGCCCACGTGCATGGACAGTCAGAAAAAAGGAGACAGTGTGGCCTCCTATGAAATCCAGAGCAAGGGAAGATATGAAGCCCCTACAGAAAGTTCCAGTCAGTGAGCGAGGTAGACCACTACCAGGGCTCATTGATTGCCTTCTGGGCTTTCTCGAGATTTCCTCTGGCAGGTAACTGCTCAGAAGAGGCAGCACTGTCTCCTCTCTCTCCTCTGCCAGAACCACTGAGGCTCAGCTCTGAGTTCACAGGGGACCCCCGGTGGCTGCGTGGATTGATCCTGACCCGGACCCTCCTAGTCCTGATTCCCAGATGACATCTCCTTGACCAGGACCCAGGAGCTGGGTGATCCCTTCCCTCCCACATTTTCTGGGATAGAATCCTCCCCCATCACACTCCGCCTGGAGTCCCCATCGCCTTACCGACAACTGTCAGCTTGGTCCCTGGGCCGAAGGTATAATCATAGCACAGCAGAATACTGCCACTCTAAAATGGACATTTTGGACCTGCTTTCCCCTGTGAGGGGCTTGGAAAGACCCAGAGTATATCTTACCTATAACTGTGAGCCTGGTGCCTGCTCCAAAGAAAACTTCAGTGTTCACACAGTGACACCAGGCAAGGAGGCAAACGCATTTGAGGCGTGGAAAGAAGAAGGGGCCGGAGTTGGTGTTTGGAGGATTCTGGGATAAAAAAAATCCCCTCCTGTGTTTTACATATTGCATAGAACATTTTCAACTCTGACTCTCGGAGCCACAGAGCATGACCAGAGTCTATCCAGAGGGTCCTACACTACTTTCTCGATTTTTTTCTGAGGGTCCGTTAAAATGATGTGGGTCTGGAGAGAAAGGCAGGGTCCTAGAGCCCGTGACCATGGCCATGGAGAGCGGGGACATTTCTGGCTTCTTTCTTTGTAGGCTGGGTCACCTCCCATGCACCTTCCCATTGACCTTGCCCCAGGTTCTGTGGGGCTTGGGATGAAAGAATCTCCCTGAGTCCTTCACCCGAGGGGCCCCTGAGGCATTCTTCATGCATCTGGGCTCTGCCTGGAAGCTTCAGTCTGGGACCAAGCCGGTTCTTATCCACGGTCTTGGCTTGGCAGGTGAACAGGGGTGAGGCAGAGGCCTTCTGACCTGAAACACCCTCGGGCCTGTGACTGAGGAAAGAAGTGGAGAGGCTGTGAGTTGGGATGGACAGAAAGGTTTTTGTAAAGCTTCCCTGTAGAGTTGAATCACCGTGGCCCCCCTGTCCCCACAATGTTACAGCTTTGTACAAAAAACGACCCCTCCCCTGGTTCTGCCCATCAGAGCCTGGAAGAAACCACCAGAGTAGCTGCTCCTTCAAGGGCATTGGAGGGCAGGTCAGTGACATCACTCCCTCTGGTGCGAGGTGGTGGCAGGGGTGCAGATCAGGCCGGGGAGGGGATCCTCCCGCCCCCGTGCCCTTCCTTCTGGACGTTCTTGGCTCCTCAGAGCTGTGTTTCTTTGCAAAGCTGGCTGCCTCAGGGGCTGGTTTTCCCCGGTTTCCACCCCTCTGCCAGCTGTCGTCACTGTGGGGACCCACCCTCCCAAGAAGCAACAGCCCCCTTTCTGCCCAGGGCCTGCCCAAGGCTGTGTCACTCACAGGCCACATCTTTCATCCGGGAATGGGATCCCTCAATACTCAGACCCTTTGGCCCACCTCGGAACCTCTAGGGTGGTCTGGAGGGGAACTGACCTTGAGCTACGTTGCAAGGGGGGTTGGTGGTAGGGGTGGAGCGAGAGGGGTGTGCAGGGCTCCCTATGTAGACCCAAAACAACAGCTCTAGCATATTTCCAAGCTCGTGGGGGCGTGGGAGGGCTCCTCTGTGTTGTCAGCCACGCTTCTTCCCCTGGACTTCAGATGTCCCAATCAGGAAAAGGGAGCTGGGGACATGGATGTGGAGAGCCACATGCTTAAAGCCGCAGGGATACGCAAATGCAATCATGGTCACAGCCTTCCCGTCTTTCCCCTGAGGGGCAGACACATTTAAGTTGCTGGTAGATGTTTCATTTTCCTGCACAAGATGACCTTGAAATTTAACCTCCAGTTGAGTGGTCCGGATCTTATTTCACTCAATGGTGCTTCCTTTTATGGGCTTTCAAAACTATGAAGTTTCAAACTATCAAAACCTAGAAGAATAAAAAAAGAGACCAAATTTCACTCCATAATGATGACACACTTCCGTGGAAAAATATACACAAAATCCAAAGAGAAATCACAAAAGGGGAAGAACATTTGCAATCTTCCTCATGAGGGTTGATCACCCCAGTATATGGTGAACTCCTAGAAATCAGTTAGAAACTAATCCAGCAGCACAATAAAAATGGCAAAGAACAGATGGTTCAGAGAAAAAGAAACGCAAATGGTGCTTCTCCATAGGAAAAAAATCTCGCAAACAAAAACTGCATTGAAATATATCTGTTCACCAATGTGTCTGACAAAATTGATTTAGGGAAGACATTCTATTAGCTGGTGTGTGGCGGGATGTACATTTCTACACATAAAAGGATACAACCTAAGTGGGGGCCAATTTGGAAATATCTACGAAAATTACAAATGCATTTAATTTTTCACCTGGAAATCCCACATCTGGGAGTTTATCCTGTAGTTAATCTTGCAGACAAAAAATGCTTGTAAAATATTTGCATTATCTGGAGATAGCAAAGAGATTGGGGAAAGACCAGTGCCCTTCAGGAGGGACTGAATAAATGATCTGTGATACATCCACAAAATGGAATATTACTCATTGCTAAGAAAACAATACACATGTTTCATTGCTACAGAAAGCTCTCTAAGATATGTTGTTAACTGGAGAAAAAGCAAGTTGCAGATTAGCATTCCCGTAGTTAGCTTTTGTCCAGCAAAGGGGGGAAACAAGAATTCTACATCTGTTTGCTTGCTTCTGCATAAAGATCCACTAAAATGATACAAAAGAAACTGATCAAAGTAAATGCCTGCTAAGAATGACTGGAGGAAACAGAAACAAGGTAGAAATAAAAGTAACATTTTTCAGTCTCAACTTTATTGTATTGTTTCAATTTTTGAGTCAGAAAACAGTATGATCTCTTGAAAATAAAACTTTAAAAATTTTAAGAAAATACAAAGATGGGGCTCCTGGGTGGCCCAGTCGGTTAAGCGTCGGACTTCGGCTCAGGTCATGATCTCACAGTTCATGGGTTCGAGCCCTACATCGGGCTCTGTGCTGACAGCCAGCTCAGAGCCTAGAGCCTGCTTCAGATTCTGTCTGCCTCTCTCTCTGGCCCTCCCCTGCTTACGCTGTCTCTCTCTCTCTCTCTCTCAAAAATAAATAAAACATTAAAATAAGAGAAAATACAAAGAAAGCATTGCTTAAGTAATATTTGGAAATGCGCTACTTTAAAAAAAAAAAACTACTTGTGTAATTTACAAAGTCATTGTTTTTTCCAAAGAAGATCAGTTTACCTGAAAAGGTGTGTTACAGTCCTGACTTTACTTATGGGGTTCCCAATCCCTCAGGAAGCTTGTAAAAAATGCATATTTCTGAGTAGTCCTCAGGATATTTTGTGTTAAAAATCTCTAGTATTGTGGTTACTGATAATGTATTTAAGTAAACAATCAAACACAAAATCACCCTGGATGTTTCCATTTCAGTACGGCACTTGGGATGCACTGCATGTCCCCTGAGAAGGAAAAGGGCAGGTGCCAGCCGTGAAGAATGTCAGAGTGCTATCTGGTGGTGTCACAAGCTGGGTACAATAGCATGGCTCTTAGAATTTAGGGAAAAAAGGAAAAGAGAGGCAGTTTGTGCATTGTACTCATGACCAGTGGTGGATCTCACAACGCTCTGCCAAGAAACTGAATAAAAGGTCATGGACGGTCTTTATCAAGTGGAAAATGGCAAGTTTTCTTCTTTATTTCGTTCCCACATTGAAAAACCCTTTCGTCAGTGTAATGATTTATTTTGATCTATTTCCATTTCCCTGTTTTATTTGCCTCTTTTGCTTATCAGTAGTATATCCTCTAAGTAAGTTTCCTCTTGACCATCTAGCTGGGGACCCTCAACCAGACTGGCCTTACAAAGAATGCCACTCTGCCTTGGTATTTGCTGCTCAGTCATGCTGTCAATATGCATACATGCGCATGAAGCTTTTTTTTTTTTTTTTTAAAGGTTTATTTCTTTTGGAGAGAGTAAGAGAAAGTGTGAGCGAGTGGGGGAGGAGCAGAGAGAGAGGGGGTAGAGAATCTCAAGCAGGCTCCGCTCTGTTAGTGCAGATCCTGATGCAGGGCTTCATCTCACAAATCACAAGATAATGACCTGAGCTGAAGTCAAGAATCCAGTGCCTAACTGAGGTGTCGCAAAGCTTTATCCCCCCCTGTGAGAGGAGTTTAGCTGGTATTGCAGGTGTCCAGGAGGGATCATTCATCACCTTAGTCAGCAGGGGGCAACCTTTCCTTATTTATTTTAGACCAAAGTCATTGCCATCTCAGCGCGGCCACTTGGGGGCGTGAGAAGAATGTGGTTAGTGCTGGAGGGACCCCCCCCCACCACCAACGCCCCTCCCCC